GGTCGAATTTTCACGTTGACCTTCAAGGTGAAATTGTTGTTAATTTGATGCGTCTCGACGAGAGGAACACGATGTCGGTAAAAGAAAACTCGTGCAAGGCATGAAATCTTCTATTTTGGTAGTTTTTGCCCCTTGCAGGCAAAACCGTTGACGTTAGGTCAAATCTAAGAGAAATAACCAGAAAGCATGCTGATATGGCTATCAAATGCGCTTTTCCGCGGTGCTGTAGCTCTAATTGGTTCCCGAGTTATGCGCCGGCATCTTGTAAACTGTCGATATTCGACCTGAAAATCGGCGAAATTTGGCCTTCACCATGACCTGACCTTTGACGTGACCAAAAAAGTGGCCGAAGTAATTTCGTCATTATTTTTGACGCTCTTTCGAATGAAGATGGATTATGCGGTGCAAAAAGATATGTTTGCCAATGCACGCCTATGTTTTTATAGACATTGAGGGTGCAGCTGCACGCCGTGCACTTCCTCTTCCGCCGCCCCTGATTTCTTGCCATAAACGTCTTCAACCGCTCCCGAATGAAAGAATGTGCGTTAATATTGATGTATTCTCATTTTGTGGAGGTTGGGCAAAGCCTGACCACTACTGGGGCATTCCTCGACTCTACTGGGGCATTTGCCCCAGTAGTTAACATGTTAGCCGAGGCCCTGGGGCGGAAAGAGAGACAAAATCAAAAGAGCAACACTCCGTAGTAAATACAAAGCTGGAGGACTCCAAGTCCCGGACATATGCTCGCAGGCGAACAGCCTGAAGATGATCTGGATTAAAAAGTATAAAGATGTAGATATTAACGCAAACTGGAAGGAAGTATTGAAGAAAAAATTCACGCCGTTTCAACAATTCGATATTTTCGATTGCAATCTATCAAAGAAAGTTATTCACGAAACAACGACAAGTACTTTCTGGAGAGAGGTACTCGCAGCTTGGGCCTATATAAGCCAACCAGATCCAGAGACAGGGGAACAAGTGCTCAAACAAACAATCTGGCTAAATAAAAACATGAATGTAGAGAGAAAAAAAGTTTTTAGCAGACGCAATCTCCTCCAAAAAGGTATAAAACAAATAGAGCATGTCTACAACCTATTAGAAAGACGTCTACTGACCGCTTCTGAAATTTCGGTTAAATATACGATTCATCCGATGACGGCATCAGCCTTACTGAAGTCGATACCGGGCATATGGAAAAACATTCTACAAAGAGACAAGCCGAGCGTTTCCACTGAGCAACCGGAGACTACCTCGCGGCTGATGGCTGCAACAGGAGTGGCAAAATGGGCATACAGTGAACTATTTAAATTCAATTGTCGTCCTGAGAAGGCAATAGCAAAGTGGTAACGTGAGCTACATATACCGAGAAACTTAAGTTGGGAAAAGGTTTTTGCAGGAATTTACGCGACATCCGATGACATATCATTACGATGGTTGCAGCTGCGAATAATCCACAGAATCATCCCAACTAGCAAACGCCTAAAACTGTTCGGGATATTGCAGTCGGATCGGTGCCAGCATTGCCCATCGGTTGAGGAAGATATAACCCATTTATTTTGGTCATGCCCCGAGGCACAGAAGCTCTGGGATACCCTGGGTCGAGTCTGCAATATTCGGTCTCAATTCAACGCGACTCAAGTGCTGCTCAACATATCAGAAGGCACAGCCACATTTCCTGCGCGATCTATCAATCTACTGGTTCTCATTACAAAACAATATATTTGGCAGTGCCACAGGCGATCAATGAAGCCTGAAATACAGGGGCTGGCGTCTAACATTTTTACTAAATTTAAAGTCGAACACTATATTAGCAAACTGGCAGGCAATGATTCGGCTTCCCAATCATTTAAGCCAATCCTTGACGCCCTGAAGCGTTACAACGAAGGTAGCCGGGAGGGTGCGCGCCCCCGGGGTGCCGGGCGGGTGTTGGGTGAAACGGGGCATGAAGTCCGCGGTCGTTGATTCCATAAATCCCGGCCGGCTGTCCGCGGCGCGCGTGCCCGCTCGGCGGAGCGAATGTCGCCCCGCAGCAGAGGGACAGCCCCGCACGCGGAAGTGTTGAAGTGTGTGCGGGTGCATCTATGCGTGTGTTTGGGTGGGTTGGGGGGGGGGAAGAATCCGATACTGTGTTCAGATATAGAGGATGATTGTGTAAATAAACGAAAAAAAAATCAATGCTATCAGCATGGAAGCCTAATCCTATGCTATGGGACAATCTTAACCCGCGCCGGGCCGGGGGGGTGTTTGAACACCCCCCCCCTCCTGCGGTTTTTTCGCAGATATCTCAAAAACGGCGGCGCTCCGCGCCGCCGTTTTTGGCACACCTGTTTGTGCATCTTTTCCGCACATGTTGTGAAAATTTCAGACCCAGGTCACCTTAGGTCAGGTCACCAGGTCACGCCAAGTGACCTCACCTCAGAAAAAATAAGAATGCTCGTCATAGCTACACCGATTGATCGATTGCCTTGAAACTTTCAGCGATTGATAAGAGCAACATTATCTATAAAATGTATATCTCGGAATTTTGATATCGGTGACCTAAGGTCAGGTCGATTTTGCGACCATTATAAGTCAATGGGAGAAAATTGAAAAGCGTCTGTTTTGCACGAACGCTCTTCTAGACACTCTCAAACATCGAGATGTAGGTAAAATGGACACACTGAACCGGAAAATGGCAACTGTGACCTCTCGTTATGTCTCGGAGGTCATCTCAGGTCACGAACAGAATCTAACAGTTTTTCGCTAATAACTTCTGATAGAGACGTGCTAGAGCGCTGACAACGCCTTAGATGTGTTCGGCTCAACGTTGCGGATCGACTGATATGCAACATGACCTTTTCCAGTCAGGTCATGACCTTGACCTGAGGTCAAATTTTCAAGTTGACCTTTTAAGGTCAAATTATAGTTCATTCGACGCGTCTCGACGAGAGGAACACGATGCTGGCAAAAGTAATGTCGTGGCTCTTTTGAGTCAAAAGTTATTGCCGAAAAAAACGTTTTTCGTAAAAACGGCTATTTTTTAAGTTTTTGCCCTCTGGAGGCTAAACCGTTGACCTGAGGTCGAATCTGAGAACATTAGCCAGAAAGGTCTGTAAAAGGGCTATCGAATGCGCTTTTCCGCGGCGCTGTAGCTCTATCGGTTCCCGAGATAGCCGTTGGCAGTTTCCAAAATGTTGAAATAGTGGACATTTGACCTTTGGTGACCTCTGGTGACCTGACCTTTGACCTGACCCAAAAATGACTGAAGTGTTTTCGTCCTTATTTTGGACGTTCTTTCGATTGCCGCTTACCGCGTGTCGCTACGTGGCCCAGGAGCCGAGTTAGAAGGGGGTGTTCAGACACCCCCCCCCCGGCCCGGCGCGGAATCTCAGAGCACCGGCCCGGCGCGGGTTAAGTCTGACATCACATAAGTCTTGCATCACATCAGGCATCTTCTCTGACTTCGCATATCAATATCAGCTTCTTGACTGCACAGAACAACTTCTTAAAGGGACCCTCCCACCTTCAAAAAAGTTAATGAATTGGCATGAAAGTGATGTCGCTCGGTTCAGAAAGAGCAAAAACGAATATCTACCAAATTTCATCGAAAAATATTCACCGGTTTTCAAGATATTAGACTTTTACTTTTGTTTACTTTTTGGGATCTCCGCTGTTCCTAGCTGGTTCCTAGCGACTTTATTTGAAAGTGCGGCATTTGTTGCGCGCAAAGCAGCATATACCACCGCGTGCTACAAAACGTTTTAGTCAAACATTTAACGGACGTTCGAAAGCCTGATGACGTCATCAGATTCCCGTAATGGTTAAGAGATAGGGACCACGCTGGTCCCACCCTGCAAGTAAAGGGAAGAAATTTCTTGAACACCATAAAGCTGCGGGGGTTGCGACCAGGATAAATGGTGGTTTCTGAGCCTGGCCGCAAACTTGGCTATCTCAACTCAAAACTAATATTAAAGGAAATAGTTCACTTTTAACATGGGGTTTTGAACTGGAATAGCAGTTTCGTAGCTTGAGCTGAGACTAGCACAAATCAGGAGCTTTTACGGCTCAACGATCACCCTAGACGAAGATATTCCATTTCTCGTTCCGAAAAGAGTGCCTTGCAGAGGAATGTGTGCCTTGCACAGGAATGCAGCCACGTCATCGTCAGCCAATCAGCATGCTGCTTACAGCCAATGCAGCATGCGTAGGTTTGAACTACGCAATATGATTGGTCAACGCGTAATAAGCTTCCGCGTCAAACATTATTTTAGATAGAATATAGTTCGTCCTATATTAAAATATAGAAAATAATTGTTTTTACAAAAAGGTTTTATTTTATTTTCTGATCATTTTGAGCATAACAAATCATAAATCCATAGCAAAATACTAATTTCAGGAAAGTGAACTGTTTCCTTTAAGGTGGGAGCCGGGAGGGTCCCTTTAAGCACTTAAGATATTGTTAATTGGTCATTATCAAGGCTTTATAAGCTGCTAGAGCTTTTCAGGTGAAAACCATGTAGGATTGCAGTGTAGCTTTAGTACTTTGTAGTAAATAATAAAACCAGCAACAGCCAACACGTCTCTAATGTTATGATCATAATGTCGATAACGCTATGACCAAAACATGAAAAAACTTGACAGAAAATATAATTCATCAATTCCAGGCTCCAACCAAACTTGAACTGTGCAAATTTGGGTTGGAAGCTGGGAAGCATCCAGACTGTAAAACATCCATACTCCATACACTACGCCAGGCCAGATGGCAGATGCTGGTGAGACGGGAGACCTTCTTGACTATATTGACGCAAGGCCGCACAAGGAACCAGCAGAGTTGGCAAGCGCGGAGCAGGCGGCTGAGGCCGAGGGCACTTGTTTTGCCAGGTTGTCAGATCTCTCATTCCCCTAAATCCAGCAGTGGGCAGGAGTTTTACCGAGCCCACTGCAGAAGTTACTTCACAACACCTGACAATGTTCAACAAGGTCTTTCATACCTATCTCCGTGCCGAGGGTGGAGGCCTCACCTGAGCGGCTGCTCCTTCGCTGAGAACTTGGGAAGTTGGGACGGCTCGTGATTAGGAGCACTCAACGGCAATACCCGGGGTGAGGGACATCTCGTCCCAAACCCTTCCAGAGCCCCCCTCAGGGTGAATCTGCTGCTAGCTTGGCCAGCATGCCAAAAAAATGGTGGCCACCATTCAGAGAAAAATTATGCGGCCGGCCTGCCCCGAAAAATTAAGCGGCCGCCATGCGCTGAATTCAGCACATGGGATGTTACGCAGGACGTGCGCAGAACTTTTTGGCACAAGCCCACAACTACGCTGGACATTATATTCCGCCATGCAGGTATTTTTTCCAGTCTGGGGAAGTGTCAAATGGCTACCACAAATTTTTCCTTGAGGCAGCCACACAGGTAAAGGTTGTGTAAGTTAGAAAGCCGTCCAAACAATAGAACTTGACTTCTGAGAGGGCTCAGGCTCAGCGCAAGGCCATAGAACTCCTCCAAGGCTATAGAGGCTTACCTCACCTGCGGAACGTGAGATCACGCACAAGATACCTATAAGAAACCACGCACTCACTCACTTGCTGGCTTGCTGGCGCACGTGTTTATTGCAAAGTAACAAAAATATAACCAGTGTTTTATTAGATATGCAATGAACCGCTAACAAACTCATCGTTTTTCATGCGCAAGAATTATTGAGTAAATGTTTTGAAATTCGGCTAAAAATTGAAAAACGACTTTAAATTCACGTAGTTAAGTATTTCGCTCTTTTCTATGTTATGAACATGTGGCAAAAAAATGAAAATAATTACTTTACTGCACGAGCAGTTCTGCACGAGCAGTAGCTTTTCACGCTGAACATAAAGTTGAATGTATTGGCTGCGTCAGATTGGCTCAGAAAAAATTGCTACCAGATTAATACCAAATGAAGAAATCTTTGCATTACTTTGGCATTACTGAAGGCTCTGATTTCTGAAGGCTCTGAAGGCTCAGCAGCGGGTGTCACTCATGAAACTGGATGAAACTCCTCAAGAAAGCTAATTCTGAATTAAGTAACTAAGGCCGCGTTCGATGTCTCACCGGACGAAGAACATTCTACGCAGAATATTCTATTTTGCGTTCGATGAAGCACACAGGCGGACGACGAGACCGGCCATTTTGTGGACATGCCTAAGAGCTGGACTTTTTGCACGCGTTCCCCGCCAGGGGGCGCCACTGAGGAAGCACCCTCTGACGTCACCATAAAACTGCGCGCACTGTGCGCACGGTTCTGTAAGCAAGTAATATAGTGGTGGTTTGATGGTGGAAATTGGAATAAGTATTTTGACGTTGTAAAATTTCAAGCCGTTTTTGTAAAATTAATTAGTAAATGCGTTTCAAAAGTATTTATTTAAAGTGTGAAAGGAGAATAATTAGAAGAACATGGATATTTTTGTTCCAATAGCTTATTATGTGAGACATGATCGGTACCAACGGGTACTTCTAAGAAGTAGTGAAGAAGTACCAAACAGCCTGCTCGGCTCCATAGATATAAAAGACTAGATGGGACATTGGCAGTGTTTTAGTGCGTGCGACTGGCCGCCATGTTTGTGAGGGCGGGAATCTGCGGCGCTGTGTAAACACTACGGGAGGAGGGTGGTATTTGAGACTGATTTTGTGGTATTTTTCGACCGAAAAGTGCTAATCTTTTTTGCTCACGGCATTCTTTGGAATGTGTAGATTGTGGAACAAGTGCTGAAATATGCTTATACTTACTTACTTACTTATACTTATTAAGTGCGGAATTTTGAAAGGCCACTTGGCCTCAAGGATCCGGTCCTATCGAGCTCCTTGCAGTTGCAATGCCCTGACTCAGTCGTTAAGATGAGTTGTGTATTTCGAATGTGCCCAGTGTTTGTCCAGTCTGGCTTTGAATGCGTTTAGGCTGGGAGCGTCGACGACTGATGGCGGTAGTGCATTCCAATCGTTGATGACGCGGACGGAGAAGACATTTCGACGCACTCGGGAGACGGCCCTCGGTTTTGACAGCTTCCATCGGTGTCCGCGGGTGTTGCCTGCCACCGCCGCCGCGAAGAACCTCTCCGCCTCGAGGTCGATCCCCTGTCTCAGCACCTGGTAGACAGTTATCATGTCACCACGGCGACGGCGGTGGTAGAGAGACGGCATGTCGAGGATCCGGAGCCTCTCCTCATACGGCTGATTTCGGATGGTGGCGACCAGCTTCGTGGCCCTCCTCTGAACCTTTTCTACGCGCCTCTGGTCCTCCCGATTGAAGGGTCCCCAGATGGAATTGGCATATTCAAGGTGAGGCCGCACCATCGTTCGGAACAGCAGAGGCAGAGTGTTCTCATCTAGAAGGGCAAAACTTCGGCGGATCACGGACAGGATGCGCGAAGCCTTCGTAATCGCTGCAGCTGCCTGGTCGCGGAACTTGAGTTGATGGTCGACGTAGATCCCGAGGTCCTTCTCCACCGAGGTCTGGTCCAGCTGTGTGTCACCCATGCAGTAGCCAGATGCCTCGGGGGCTCTTATCCGCTCTGGGTTCAGAGTGCAGTGGCATACCACGCTTATCTATTGTAATTTGGCTACGTTAGCCTTAGACATGTTGCACTGTTGCGCTGATGAAGAATAGGCGGCACCAAAGGTAGATTTACTTGGCATGCCTGTTTTAGGTTTAATTCAGTTCCCATGTTTTTTTTTGTGCACACCACAATCCATTAATTATTCTTGCATGGATAGAGCATCAGTCATATGATTTTTCACAAAGAAAGCTTACCTAGATAGGTACCAGAACATTGGCAGCGGAAAGCAGACTCATTACCTACACTTGCTTTGCCTGCTCACTTTCTACTGTTGCCTTCAATGGACAATATTTATGAAGTAAGAAGGTTTTATGATTATAGGTTTTAAATAAGTACTTTACTTAATGTCATCAGTTAGTATTAAATAGTAGTTCAGTGCCAAACGAAAAATCCATGCACTATGCCAGATGCCTCGGGGGCTCTTATCCGCTCTGGGTTCAGAGTGCAGTGGCATACCACGCTCACCCTCAACCAGAGCTGATAGATAGTGAAAATGCCAGACGTTGTGATATCTGCACCAGTGAACCGTGTCGCACATTTGATCCCAATAATGAACAGCACAGGGGTGACGTAAAAATGTGCGTTAGTTGGAGCACCTAAACTCAGATTGTCATTACCTAATTAGTTTTCACATTGTAAAGCTTAAAGGGACCCTCCCACCTTCAAAAAAGTTTATGAATTGGCATGAAAGTGATGTCGCTCGGTTCAGAAAGAGCGAAAACGAATATCTACCAAATTTCACCGAAAAATATTCACCGGTTTTCAAGATATTAGACTTTTACTTTTGTTTACTTTTTTGGGATCTCCGCTGTTTCTAGCGACTTTATTTTAGAAGTGCGGCGTTTGCGGCAGATGTTGCGCGCAAATAGCATATACCACCGCGTGCTACAAAACGTTTTAGTCAAACATTTAAAAATCGTTAGATATCTGCGCTGACGTCACACATTCAGAGGGGTATACCTAAGCATTATCCCCTCTGAATCAAAATGCTGCAATTTTGAAATTCAATATTTCCGATTTAAGGCATTTCTCGATGTTGTGAGTGCCGAAACCGGTAATTGTGAGCCAGGGACCCCATTTTGGCTATCTCAACTCAAATCTAATGTTAAGGTGGGAGGGTCCCTTTAAACTACACTTCATGCTCTTTTGGCTCACCTGTTATCAGTATCAGTAAATAGGGTATTAGTAAATCTGGCGTTACCATCAATGCTAAGTGCTAACAAGTAAATATGAAGTCCAAGGAAGATAAAAATCATAATCTTACTTGACCTAACCTTACCTACTAACCTAACTAACCTACAATCTACAAACCTCAACCTACATAACCTCCATACCTACAACCTACCCACCTACAACCTACCAACCTTATGTGCCGACGGTGGCACCAGATTTATGGATACCCTTATTTGTTAGGTACTTCACTCCACTTCTCATTTTATTTGAAGCTCATTTAAATTCTTGTATTTAAGTCTGTGTAAACTATTATTTTAAAAACCTGATGCTTTTCCATGACTGTAATCTCACTGTTTGCTATGTGTATTTTGTAGTGTGTACTTTGTGCAAATCCAGTATCCTACACTTGTATGCTACAGGCCTTGTTTTGATCTGACTAACTGTTAATATGTTTCAGCTTTAAAGACTAGTATCTTTTGAAATTGAAATTTGCCTCTCAGTCTCTCAAGAATCAAGATGCCAAATAGATGTGCAGGATTTGATTGCTGACAAACCAGGGATGAGGCTCAAGAGTCAAGAGATCACCCTGCATTGGCAAGTAAAAGCTACAGACTCTTGATTTTTTATATTGTTACAGGTTATCTGTCACCGAGAGCGATTACTGTAGTTCAATTTCTTGCATCAAAATTGGCAGAATATGACTTCACTGATCACTCTGACGTCATTTACGGCCGACCTATGGTAGCTACACAATTTTTATTTCTATAAAATGTTTCAGATTGATGCAGCCGAAGGTACTGCAAGTTTCGTATTGACACGTCTAGTGGTTTAGAAATATTGCAACAAATATATATTTTAATTTTTTCAATATATAAATGTAAATATTTTATTGCAGAAAACGGGAGAGGGGCTCTGTAGAGCCCCACCCTCCAGTCATGCGTGGGTAAAGGCCCATCAGTCACTAAAACCAGAATAAGTGCAAAAAATTATTACCAAATGCCCGGAGACTGCTTTACCATTGCCAACATGTGTGTGTGTGTGTGTGTGTGTGTGTGTGTGTGTGTGTGTGTGTGCGTGTGCGTGTGTGTCAACAATGTGTTAACAACAAATACAACACAATTGTGCCTGGCGTATGTTAACACTAAACACTATTAGCCATATTTTATTGATACTAATCGAACCTTCCAGGTGGCTGGAACAACCCCAGTGCCGCACAGTTCTGCGGGATATTCCGGCACCTGCTCCACCGCTGCGGCGTCCGGCCCGGCAGCACAGGGAAAGTGGCAGCCCTCGACCCGACCAGCATCCTGGCAGTCGGTCACACGACCAGCGGACGGGGAGCCAGCCTTACTACCTCGGCCTCCACCACCTCAGACAACGGTGCCACGGCACTCCACATCATCACGGAGCACGACTTCCAGCCTGGGCTGTCGTCTGGTGGGCAACATCGTCACCTACATCGCAGGGTTCGTGGTGAAGAAGGCGCTCGACTCTGTCAGCTGTAGCACCTGTCAGGAGGCCCTGGTGAGCGACATCCAGCCGGACGACATGACACAGCTTTACCACCTCTTCATCATCTCTGCCAGATGAGCTAAGGTGGGGACGGGTTACATGCCTGGGATCTGACTGAGACCCGCTCATACCCTGCCGAAGTGTTGGTGATTTCAGCGGTCAGCTGTCTCTAGCCGGTGTCAGTGAGTCGCGGCCAGCTGCCGCTGGAGTGGGTATCTACCGTCGATAGCTGCTGTGTGGCGGATAGCG